ACAGCTGAGCTTAAGTAACAAAATCTCTTATAATGAAAGAGATTTTGCTAATATCATGTGGTTACCTGTATTTGTATCCACATAAATGTAGTATCTTCACTACGCCAACCAAATAGAAGATGTCTGATTATATATTTGAGAGAAATCCTCCTCACATCCCCCACCATCATCACCAAATTCAAGACTTGAAAGCATTTGGGATAATTTGGTTATTTCCAACTATCAAAAGAGACCAATCTCATTTGGGAATATTGGCCAATAATTAAGGAGATATCAGTTGCCTTAGCAACAGATTCCTTCCCAAATAAGCACTGTTTTCATTCAGCAGCCTTTAGCCAAAAGGGGAATTAAATCACTGAAATCAACAATTCCTTTTGTTTAGCAAGCAGAACAGCTTTCCAGGTCTCGAGAAAACAGACCCCTCACAGTTGGTCCAGCATTGCCCAAGGTAGCAGTTGTTTGGATGAATAAGCCAACCTCTTGAATTATAGGATTTTATCTTCAAAACCACTGGTAACAGAATGGCTAGCTTTTGCCAAAGAAAAATTACAAAGGAGAGAGCATCTCCTAAGTGATACTAATGGATATATTTAGCTCTATAGATCTTAATCTTACATAGAGAATATATGTGTTTCTATGTCTATGTATATTGATGTAGTTATGGATGTGTAATTTAGTAAAGGACTAATCAACTTGCTCTGTCAGCTAGTAAATAGCTTCTTTTACTTCAACTTCTAGTAAAAGCCTGACCTCATATTATACAATTTAAAACAAGATTTGAATTGGTCATCACCAAAACTGAGACAATGAAGAGCTAGCTTTCCAAATGTTGATATAACCTGACCAACTCTACAACCTGAAGTCTTGTCACTATATTAAAGTTATATAAAGAAATCAACCACTATTCTTTTTCTGATAAGTAATAATAATAGTAAAGGCTGACCATGACTGACCTCCCTATACACATATACTTGAACTCTCATTGGCTCCTCAGGGTACAAATTTACTTTTTTAAAAAAACAAGCAAAATGGGACAACCCACTTTCTGGTCCCCCTTCTGTCTCTCTTAGGCAGAAGCTTTCTTTCTCCCAATAAATTTTTCCTACTTTTAACCTCTGTTGTTCCTAGAATTCATTCTTCGATTTTAGAGAACATGAACTCGCATTTCGGATATCTAGTAGGTCTGGGAGTTACATCTCTTCCCCTTATATCATTTTGGAGATCCCACTGAGATTAGTGGTTGGAGGTAAGAGTTTGCTTTTGTTCCATAGGTTCTAACTCTTTTTGCTTCACAGATTGTAACTTTTGTTTCATAGGCTCTGGATATTTGTTTCATAGATTCTGGTTTTTGTTTCATATAAATTCTGATCTTTGTTTTGGCTTTTGTTTTAAAAGTGTCTTAATTTTAAGTTGTACTTTAAATGTTTGCAAATTTCTTGTTTTTCTTATGCATTGGCTTTTGTTAAAATCATGTTTTATTCTTCTTCTGTATGTGTTGCATTTTAGACTTAGTTGCTTTAAAATGTTGTAAAATGGGTCTCTTATGAAATCGTTTCAGATAAAGACAGTTCAGGCTTTTCTCTGTCCCTTATAGAATGCCAAACAGTGGTTACTCTGCCAGCTAGTAATTACCTTTAGGGCAGCTGCCACTCTCAAAGCAGAGGACAGATTTCTCCAGTTGCCCTCTGGTGAATCACCACTCCCATTGACACTAATGGTGGGTGGAATGTTGACCAGATAGGCAATTGGGTTCCTTTCAGAGTCAGATCTCATTGTGTGGAACTAGCAGAAACTGAGGTGACAACTGAGGGGTCATGGCCAGGGTTACTCTCTGGCAGATACCCAAAGGTCCCTTAGAAGAAACTAGCTACAGACAGGCCACCTAGGTAATCAGCAGAAAATCTCCACATCTTGTCCCTACCTGGACTCAGTGAGGTCAAAGGGGAACTGTGTCAGTGATCAGATATCTTCTGTTTCAGAGTGATCTGAAACGGTGCTGTCAGAGCCCTTTCTTAAGCGTCCATTAAGAGTTAAGTTACAGGTTTGGACTGCTTTCTCTATTACTAATAAGGCAGACCTCTAGACAAAGGTAGAAAACAAATCTTTGATAGAATAAAAACTACGTGAACCTTTTCTCCCACTTAGGCATGGTCTTCATCATTTATGTGTGTAGGAGAGAAAAATGCCTTTTCTGATAGGTTATAGACTTTGGACTTAGAGTGCTATATGGTGATTTTTGGATGTTTAACCAGCCTGAGCTTTATTTGGGCTTTTTCTCTCTGCTAGTGAGTTTAAAACTCCCCTTAAACTTTTCTCCAACTTGTTGGGAGTTCATCTGAGAATCCCCTGTACTCAGACTGCTCCTCCTTCCAGAAAGTCAGACTAAGGCAACTCGAAACAACTGTTTCCTCCTACACTAGAGAAAATAACAATCAGTAACTTGCATTTGTGTTTTTACATGCTAACTAGAATATGGAACTATTTTAGCCAGGCTTTCTTTTCATTCATGCATGCATAGGAAGTCCGTAAGAATGCCTTTACTATGTAGATTGTGGCCACTAGGAGGACCTGTGAGTTTCAAATACTTAGTGAATTTAAAACGGACCTTAAAGGAGTAGCCCTTGTCTTGCTGCTAATAGAAGATGCCCAAATGACTGGATAGACAACAGCAATGTCTCAGAGATTTCTCTGCCCTAGGGCCCAGGGCAGAATCTCTGACTTACCATCTCTGGAGGTGATCTCTTTAACAGGAAAAGTGTGCTAATTTGACTGTTGCCCCATTTTCCTCTCTCCTTCAAGGAACTAAAAAGCAGTGGTTTAAATCTCTTGATTTGCTAGCAATCCTTCCTTCTCTAAACATGATTGTTATGGCTGAAGTCAATTGTAACTTGTGCTTTGAGATTATCTACTAGAATAAGGATATGAGTTCCCTGAGGAAGATGAGATCTCGTGCTGGTAAAGGGTAGACAGTTCAGTCCAGTTTTATTTTCTGGTTCTCTCCAGATGGTAGTTCCCTACCCTGTAGTGGTATAAACCTTGGGAGATACCCTGGGGCTGTCCTAGGGGGCACAGGAATCAAGCAGAGACTTATGGGATGTCACATTTGTTTCTCTTGTTTCAGATTGGGAGCTCCATATCTGAACCTTTTATTCCTTTGAAATGTATTAAGGAGCAGTTAGTATTTAGTATTTCTCTATACCTGGACATGGTGTGCCTACCTGCTAAAGCCAAGTACACAGAGGAAAGTACTATGATGCTATCTCATAATTAGAATTATACTGTAAAAGAGAGAAAATGGTCAAAATCATCTTATGTTGAGATCTTCTTTATACTAAGAAGTAATTCTTGCTTGTGTTCAAATGTAAATGTGGGCCATAGAAATATGAGAGACACCTCACCCTTAAGACATTCAGTACCTCTAAGCCTGAGGCTACTCCTCGCCCTTTAAAACACAGAAGGTTTCCAAGACAACTTTAAGCCTAACCACCAGGTGCTGAGGGTGGAATTTCCAGGCCAGACATAATTAAAACTTCCATGAGGCTATTTTCATCCTTAGCTAAGTTGTTCAGTTCCCTCAAAGACAGTATCTCTTGCAGGAAGTAAATGGCAAATATGAGACTACCTGTGTTCATGTGTCTTTTTCTCTCAGTGATCTAAGACAGATTAAATGAGACCTTAAAAAGTTTTCAGATGACACTGATATGTACATTGAGGTCTTTAGAGAACTTACTCAGACCTATGGACTAGATTAAAAAGATGTAATGTTGTTCTTAAATCAAGTATTGATTTCTAATGAGAGTCAAGTAGTATTACAAGCTGCTACTACATATAGAGACGGATATTTTAATTTTGGAAGATCAAAAGACAGGCAGTCAGGGGAACAACTGGTTTCTACTAGAACACAAACATTTCCTATACAAGACCCCTACTGGCCTGCCAATCAGATAGGAGATTAAAATAGAAGACATTTTCAGGCATGTACTCTTGAAGATCTAAGAAAGATAAGAACTAAGTCCTTCAATTATTTTAAATTGTCAACTATTTATCAGGAAAAAAGATGAGAACATCCCTGGATCCTGATTTGATAGAAGGAAATACTATAGTTTTTGCCAAGTTAGTCTTGTAATATGTAGATGGTATGCTGTTATGTGCCCCCACAGAAGAGCTTTCTAACCAAAACAACCTATGCTTTGCTGAATTTTCTAACAGACTGAGGTGACAATGTTTCTAGATCTAAGGCACAACTTTGCAGCCTTGAGGTAAAATATTTAGGCCTTATTATATCTAAGGAAACCCAAAGACTGGGAGAGGAAAGAATTAAGCCAATTCTTTTCTTTCCACAGCCCAAGACTCTAAAACAGCTAAGAATATTCCTAGAAATTACAGGCTTTTGTGGCCTTCAGATAGCAAGATATAAAGAGATTGTATCACCTTATAGAAAACCCCAAAAGACAGATACCCATATTTTAACCTGGGAACCTGGTTCTGAGACCGCATTCCAGAAGCTCAAACAAGCACTTCTAAGTGCCAAACTACAGGACACCATTTTCGGTTTGTATGTTAATAAAAGGTGAGACATGGCTTTGGGAGTGTTTCTACCACATCAGGTCGCTGCTCAACAGCCTGAAGGCTATTTAAGTCATCAATTAGATATTATAGATTCAAAATAATTTATTTGAAAAGAAAAGCCCTAAACAATATAGTTAGAACACTTTCATTCTCTTTCAAGAGGGAAAAGGCAGCCATTTAGGTTCTTTGATTATTGGTTTGTTTTCTATTTGGCAATTCAGTTGAAGTCAATCATAGCCTTTGTCTCTAGAGATATGTTTTGCTAAGGATTGCAGATCCACTCTGGAAAAGCTCCTGATCTTAATTGTCTTTCTACACCTGAGATGGTTAAGATTTACTTCTTGTGCCATACTTAAAGGCACTCTTCTGTCCCATCTCCACTACCCTGCCCCTGAGAAATAATACAGTTCTCAACAGTGTTTGTTTGGTTCAAGGCACTTCCCTCTTCTGTGGCTGCTGGATTTCAAGACAAAGCTTCCAGAATAGTGAGTTTCCCTTTCCTGGAGTCCTGCCAGAGTAAGTAAAGCTGACCTTCATTTATCTCTGGATCATATAGAAAACTGGTCTGGGTTTAATCCTGACACTCTCAAGAAATAAATGTAAAAGTTTTAGTCCAGATTTACCTGTCTTTCAGCCCTCAGACAAAATTAGAGAATGGTAAGAAGAGCTAACCTGGCTCTGGCCACTTCCTTACACCTCTAGTCAGCCACCACTGGCACTGGATAAGGTAAAGACTAAGGAGCACCTTAGATTGGGCACAGAACAAGAGTGATAGACAGGGATACCTTCTTTGCCTTTGTTTTTTTTTTTTTTCAAAATGGAAAAACTCATAGGTAGACATCTACAGCACAGCAGGTTGGAGCCTTGGCAGGCCTTCTTCCCTCAGTGCATGGAATTCATACTTAGCTCCAAAGCGTGTCACCTAGTCTCTTCTACATACAAACCTGGCCTGAGCAGACCTGGAAACAGTTAAAATTACCTTTAACAGTCTGTCCCTTTAGAGGGAACAATTATATGTGGATATCAAACAACTATGGTTATCAAAGCAACAATGAGAACCCTGTACAGCTGGGTATTCTAGTCAGATAAACTGTCAGCTTAGAGCCCATCTTAAAATGGTCTTTGCTTTCATAGGTGTAAAAGATTTTTATTCCTTTTGATTCTTATTACAAGAGATTTCTGTTAATTGATTTACAAAGTTCTGACTAGTCTTTTTTAATAATTATAAACCTAAAAATTATAAAAGTTATTATAATTCAACTTTGCCAAATACATCTGAGTGCACTCTTGTTTATAAACTAGTTGTCTTATGTGTGTGTGTGTGTCTGTCTGTCTGTTCAATTTGTTAAAACGCATACAGCTGTCTTGTTTGAGCTTTTTTTATTTTGGCATTTTGGATTTTTTAAGATGTTTGCCTGTAAATCAACTTGGCTTATAGATAAATATAATTAAAAACATGCTTCCCCCAGATTGCCAGATGATCCAAATAATGTCAACTGATTTTACAAATACAGTACATATTGTTGTCTATGTATAACTTGGGAATCTTTCATTGGTCAAAATAATGTGTTAATTGTTATGATCTGGCTCTCTCAGGTCATCTAAAAATTTGTTAAGAAAATGAAGACTCTTGGGCTTAGGAAAACTACAGGACAGGACTCCCTTTGGTAAATAAAGGAGTGGCTGCCTGGAAAAAATTTATTCCAGCCTTTGTTCACAAAGGGGGAGACCCCAATAATTTCCATAGCCTTGTGGGAAATACATTGCTAAACATATCATTGTGATATGTATACATTGGTCATAGTCTAAGTTTTCTGTGAGAAAACAAGGTTTTATTTAAAATGCTCTTGGTACAAAACAAAATTAAGGGACAAAGGGTTTCATGTAACTGATACTCATTGTTATTTCTTGGTATATATATTCATGCCTTTCAGGTATACAAGTCTTCTAGGATATTGTTTATGGTAACGATCTGTTTTGACTGAAGTATCTGCCTTTCTCTTGCACTCCAGCTACTTGTGATAAGAGGGACATGTCAAGTCAGCATGAGATAGCCAGTCAAATAGTAGGTTTCTTAAAAACTTACATGATGTATGTTATAGGTGTCACCACACTTAGGGATGTTCAGTCACCAGTTGAAACAATGGCACACACTAAAATTAGAGGCTAAACATTATAAACTCAGAAGGTACATTTATAGGCCAATATGCATGTTCTCTTTAGATGGCATCCTACTAAAGGATAACAAATAAGAGTTTTCTTTATGTCATTTAAAGTCTTGTGATCAGATGGAGGTGTCTGACTGAAAGACTATTCCATACTAAGATGGACATGTAAGTGTTACAAAGAAAATGTCATTATGATTGCCATGCTAAAATACTATGTGTAGCTCTTAAGCTTCTCTATAATATATAACTGATGTCTGTTAACTTATTGCAGGGATTCAACCACTAAAACAACCATGGTTGGTAAGAAATAACAGCCCTCTAACTGTGCTTTATACTTCAAAAGTGCTTGATGTTTTAACTATTATAACACTGCTCCTACTGAAATATTTATGTCACTGATCTTCTCTTCTGGGTGTTCAACAACTAAAGTTTGGAGATCAAAACTAGAAAGGTAACTGGGCTATGAGGACAGCCAATATCTTGGCCCTGGCCCCTCAAGTCAACAAAGAGTCCAGGACATGAAGGAACTTTTCCTACAGGATCCTACATCTTTGGTAAGTCACTCAACCTCCTGAGGAGGGAGATTGCTGGGCACCAGAGGACAAATGTACCGTGTGCCAAAGGAGGGTCACACAGAGGGAAAAATCTCCCATGCTTTCACTGAAAGCAACATGGTCAAGCAAGGCCATGACCCATCCCAATGGCTGACACTGTCAGAGCTGAGAGGCTCTATGGATGGTTCCAAAGTAATGACTGAGGAGACTTAGCTGACCTTGATAGATAGCAAGAGGTTCATACTGATTGACACAGGTCTCACTTTAACTTGGTCTTAAACACCCAGGAGAAAAGAGTAACCAAAAGAGGTATAAAATAATGCCATAGTAATAAAGCTAGATATAAAAAGGGGCTCCAGTCACTGACCCCTTTTGGCAGTTTCTAGCTACACCAGTAGCTGACCACAGTTATGGATCATTAGGAAAAAACTATGATAGAATCTATAAGAGCCAGCAGGTTATAATCACTATTTTAATTTCTAAGTGTGACTTTCTTCCCAACCTGCCCTTCCATTCTAGGTACTCAGGCTTAGATTATGCATGCTCTAATTTCTTGAAAGTTTTTTTTCATTCTTGCCTAGAGGCTGCCAAACTCCAAGCAGTCATACAAATGGAACCAATGACAAATGTGCTGGAATTCTTTTACTGGGATCCACCAGATCGACCTTGTAAATAGCTCATAACTGCTAAACTGTGCAATACGACTTCTATGTTGGGATTCTGAAGTCCCTTGGGCCTTCTCCTTATCCTCTTTGTGGGAGGCTATTACTAGTTACTCTCAGTGGAAACCCTTGTTGGCTATATTCATAGCAATCCTACTGACCTTATAATTTGGTCCATGTATTAGCTGTTTCTTTGGCTCTGTCTCCTCCAGACTCAAAGCTATATGGCTACCAAGATGACAATGCCTGCTGCCTATCGAGGGCCTTTAGATAGACTCTGTAGAGTAAGTCTAACTCCTGATGACAACTACAACCCTCTTCAGCTGGAAGTAGCCAGAATGGTCTTCACCCTTTGGCCCCTCACAGCAGTTAGGGGTACTTCTTCAGAGGGGGGAGTATTGCAGATAGGTAAATTAAATAGATATCTTGTAGGCAGTTAGACAGGGCCAGCCCATGAGGAGCCAACATGGAGGACAGTCAAGGAGCCAACATGGAGGACAGTGAAGACACATTCACTGAAAGCCAAAATTGCAAAAGAAGAGAAACTACCACACTCATGTAGGATGAATAGCAGTGATTGCTATTCTAAACAGGTATTAATCAACTGGGTGGGGGGCCAAGGTCTTAACCCAGCCTTTCCAGGAAATATCCCTGACACCTACCCTTACTGAAAATCCTTGTAAGCTTGCTAGGTGACTTGCTCCCCCATTGGACCCCCATTTAATCAATATTACCTGGGTGACTGTACTTGTAATCTTATTGGTTGGTCATGGTTTTGTCCCACCTCATTCCCACCTTGTAAATTTCCGTTGGGTCTTATAGTTTTGTCCCACTTTATACCCACCTCACCACATGGCTTTGCTGTATAAAACATCCTTGAAAAGTGGGGTGGGAGGGCAACCCACTGTCCCGCCCCCCTTCTGTCTCTCTTAGGCAGAAGCTTTCTTTCTACCAATACATTTTTCCTACTCTTAAAAAAAAAAAAAAAAAAGCAAAAAATTCTTGCCACAAAATGCTTATATCCCAACTACACTCCATGACCACTGAAGTCTTTATTTCAGGCTATTTCCATAATGAATGACCATACCTTTCTAATCTTATTTCACCACAATATTCCACTCTACAGTCCTACTCCCTAACCCACACAGGCCACCACTTAACTGCTGGGTTGGGCCCATCCTCCTACTGCTGGCAAGCATCTGAACTGATGATACACACAACAGGATTCAGTCTGCTTGTCTCACGTCCAGTCTTTGACTTTCTTGCCTGCTTATAACTGCCTTTTTTAGCTCTCTTTTTGCCTGCTTCATAAATTATTTTTCTTAAATGCAACAATAATATACACTTCTGAAAATAAACTCAAAATATCCATGCACAGTGGCACACACCTATAATCCCAGCTACTAGAAGGCTGAGGAGAGGGCTGGCAAATTTGAGGCCAGCCTGGGCAGCTAAGACCCTATCTCAAAAAAGCAAAAATATTACAAAGGGCTAGGGGTGTATCGTAGTGGTAGAATGCTTGCCTAGCATGCATGAAGTTTATTATCCAGTATGACAAAAATAAAAATAAAAAATATAAACTCAAATTATGTGGCGGTATATAATATAAAAAAGAAAAGGTCCACTTGTTATTAACCTAGTATGCAACTTTCAGGTAAATCTTTTCTATAGCTATACAAATATTGATTGGGTTTTTTCTACAAAATGGCTCTCTCTCTCTCTCTCTCTCTCTCTCTCTCTCTCTCTCTCTCTCTCCTATTGTCATGCCTATCTGGAGAAAATTTAGTTTTAAAAAGTAAATACAAAAGAATGAATTCTCTAATTTCATCCTGCCCCACACAATGAACGGTACAGATCCACTTTTTATTTCTTTTTTTGGTACGGGGGATTGAACGCAGGATCTTGTGCTTGCAAGGCAGGCACAGTGCCACTGAGCTAAATCCCCAGCCCTGCTTTTTATTTCTTATCCCAAATACTTTCTTTCACCCTTACCTACTGCTATACCATTTCCTTTTCCATTTATGAAGAATGAACACTATTTAATTCTAGAAGAATGAACGCTATTTATTGATTTTTCTGGTGCTGAAAAACAGAGACAAAGTATTTTCAGTAAAACAAAGATATTTAGTTAG